AAAATCAAGCTTGCGAGCTTTGCGGAGGAGGAGCACAGGAAGGAGGGCGCCTGGAAGTGGCTGCGGCTTGCGCTCTGGGACCTGAAGCCGAACTGGTTCTTGCTTTGCTGTTTCCAAAGCCGTCCATCTGCAGCAAATAACAGTGCAGTGGTGCAAGCATCAGGAGCAGCGCAGAGCTGGAATTTCATTTCCAACCACCCCCTGGTCGAAAATGACATCACTTCCCGAAGGTGACGCTAAGCCGGTTATCTGCAAGGGTGCGCCCCTGCCGATGAGGTAGCTTCCTGGTCTGTGCGACGGAATGACATTGGCTGGGCCGGGCTGGCCCGTGCCAAACCGCTCAGAGGGCAATCTGCGATGGTCACGTCCGGAGACTCTCCCCCGGTGGCTCGTTCGAATTAAACCGCCACAATCCCATCCCGAGGGCCTCAGTTCAGGTTTTTCTTACAATTTGGGCAATCAGCGTTACCTTCTTGACAACACATTGCTTTCATTTCAATCGAATCACGTTGGCGATCTACGGTGAGACAAGTAAGGTACAGCATGACGGAAGGTATGCAAACCGGCCCCCCTCAACCGAGATGAGATGGTGAGACTGCGTTAGGATTTGCCAGCTGTTTCCTACATGAAGCCAAATTGGGCTCGAGCCCCTTGGACCGCTGCGTCCTCCAAACATGCACATCTGGAAGTCCGGATATGGCTGAACACGAGCTAAGCCACTGGCGCCACACTTGTGCTTCGGATGTATTACCTTGAGCTCTTCTGGTCCAATAGATCGAGGATCTGCACCAAGATCGATGCTGCGCAGCCACGACTCACTCGCCACAGTCCGCGTCTACCTGACGGCATTTGACAAATGTGACAATGTTCGCAACGTCCTCATTCCCTAGAACGTCCAAATTGGCCGTGGATCGTCAGAGCAGGCGTTTAGGACCATGCGGCTTTCGGGTCAAATATGACGGGCTTCTAGACATTCCCCCTTCCGCACTGACGCCGCCGACGCCATCTTCCGCTCAAGAATAGCGTGAGTCCGCAACGGATAAGACGACACGTGTGGTGGCCTGTAGTGGAATGCATTCCATGCATTGTAGTGCGAGTTCGGTGACGGGTGGTCTCTCGCACTTCACCGCGGCCCGCTCCTAGGCTCTGATCTTTCCTCTGATGAACTCTGACGAAGAGACGCCACAAAACACCACGCTCAGCTAGCAGCATATTTAAAAGAAATTTTTGTTTTAAATTCATACAGCTGCTCGTTGCTCAGCAGCCAAGGTAATTCGTAACTCATAAGAGACTCCGCCATGAACCTACTCCCGAAAATGCAAAGCCCATACCACAGAGCATCTCGGCTTACCCGCGCCGGGGCTACCCGTGATATCCAGTGTCCAATGTACAACAACAGCACCTTTTACTGCAGAGGCAAGCTCTTCAACCGCATCGTCAGAATGTCGAGCTGTGTCTTAACCTCCTCGCCCTGGCCCTGATCATCCACTTCCTTCTTCTCAAGGGCCGTCTGCAAAGTCTTGACGGCGTGTAGCAGAGGCTCAACATAGCGCTGCTCCACGGCGCCAGGCATGCTAGCCGGCACCAAGTGCTGGAAGCTGGTGCCGGCAAATAGGAAGTATGCAAAGTTGGCAACCTGCAGGTGGAAGGGGAAGTTTTGCACCCAGTATTCCCAGATTTCGGGAACGGACTGCTCCTTGAGGAATGCCATGTTGGGGAACAAGACATATTGCAGAGTCTCGACTGCATCTGTTGTCGAGAATCTGTTTGTGAGCTTGCGTTTTTGAGCCACAATCAATTCTTCTCGCAACCACGTCACCGCAGAGGCCTGCAGAGCGGAGAAGATACAGTTCTCAAGGAGATCCTCCAAGATCTTGAGCCGGTCGCTATCGTCCGGGTCGTCATGCAGGACGAGGCCCGCGAGGGTTGTCGAAACATTTCGAACCGATAGTGTCGGGTGGAACACAGAGACAAGTGTGAGAAGATGGTGGTAGGGCATGAAGTCGCCTTCTGACGGTGAGATGCGCTTGTAGTTCTCTAGCCAGAGTCCCATTACGACGAGAGCCTCGGTGGTGCCAGGGTTTCCCACGATGCGCGACTGCGGGTCTTCACCAAAGAAATTTTCGAGAAGCTTGACATGATCGGGGAACATGGTCATCTGGACCTGTTCGTAGTCCGCATCGAAAACTTCTGCTGAGAAGAGCCAATATGCAACCAGGCACCAGACACCTCCGGTGGAGAGCTTGATGTTGTCGGGGCTGAGGTCATCGGTCTCGACTGCTAGCGGGCTGTTGGGAATGGAGCCCTCAAAGATGTCCTTGACGGAAAGAGCACGCACTCTGTTTAAGCCGAGATCTCCTGCAAGTGCCTGGGTTATTTGTTAGCGAGTTCGTCCGTCCGAGCAACATCAGACGAATGTACACACGACTAATTGGCCAACCAGAGCGTCCCTCGCCAAGAGATCATCGTCCTCCTTAAAGGCACGCAACACGCTCTTACGCATCACGACACGCTCTGGATTGTAGAATTCCAGCAGGCGAGAGGCCCATTCCATGCCGGTGCAGTTAACGTAGGCCTCGATGATGCAGGTAATGAAGGACTGGAGCAGTCTCTTGGTCGTGTCAGGATCCGTCGGCGCCAACTGCTGCTTGTGTGCGGCCTCGGGGTCCGGTGCGTGTTTTGTGGGATCGCTCTTCGTAAAGGGAGTGTCGAGCTTGTTGCTGGACTGACGGGTAGGGAGCGGCGGGCGCTTATCGCCAGAAAGGGAGCGGACGAGGGCAATGACTGCAGCCGTCATTTCGGGATTGCGGGGATGGTAGGTGCGGTAGACGCTCTGAAGGGTCGTGTGAACGAAGCGAGAGGGGCGCGCGACGTTCAATCGCTTGTGGAGGATGCTCAACATGCCGACCAGGTGGACGAATGTCGCCGTCGTCGCGGGATCGTCTTCCTCGTCGGTGGCCTCTTCGACCGTTTTTTCCAAAACCTCGAGGACCTTAAGAATGACCTCGCGCGGGTTGCCCAGCTGAGCAATGGTCTCAAGGCACTGCTGACTGCCCTGAACGGGCACAAGCATCTCGACCAAGTCCCATCCGATATCCTGGGTGAGCTGAGTGTCTTGGAGGATTTCGTTCAGGTCAGGCAGGATCTCGGGGGAGAGGACCTCGCCAATGATGGTCAGGTAGGTGAAGGTGTCTGTGGCGGGTGGCTTAGACTCGCGCAGAGCCTGGAGGCTGCTGGGCTTGTCGGCCATGGCAAGAGGAGGATTTGTCGCTTCAATCATGGTGTTCAACTACTCGAATGACCTCTGTGACATTGGAGGGGTTGGTCGATGGTCGTTGAAGAAAAGTCTGGGCTTGATGAACACTCGGCAGACGACAGAAGGAGGGGGGCAGATGGGGTGAAGAAAAGAAGAAAAGAGACTGACTGCGCCAGTTCTTGTTTCGTCATCGGAGCTTTCAGCACCTGAGAGACGGAAGGAAGGCGTGAGAGAGAGGACCACACTTCAGACCTAGGCAGGCACGGCAGGGTTCCAACTCCAATTTCTCTCCACCAGGCAATATAATTAGCACCTCACCAGCAGCTCACCACTCCACGAAAGGGGGGGGACTGAGGCGGGCGATTGCAGTCAACGACAGGATCAGAAATGCCAGCAGTGGGCGCAGCAGCAACCCCGCACTAGCCCTGATTCAGAGAGGATCCCGCTGGAACACTTTACAGGTCAGGTTCACCCCACTGGAATCTGCATTCTGAAGAGGTCCCGCCAGGTCTGAAGCCTCAGGATGGCCCCGCCTCCAGGACCGGTGGAGGTCGTTGGTGCAGACATGTCAGTGGCCCAGAGTCACAGTGAAACCCGGTGCCATCGGGTAATACAGCGCGCCAGACCAGGCTGGTTCCAGCCCGCAACACTGGCTGGGGCCAGGCCTTGGCGGTGAAGTGGCCTGCGACGAGACAGCCTGAGATGTGAGTAATTCGTTCCCAGGAAATTCCTAAGACGGTATGGAAGAACAGGTTGCGGATGGAAGATCGGCTCGTGTTTGATTTATGCTTGACAATGGAAGCATCCGAACAGACGACGAAACTGGACAGTCCCCATCCCTTTAATCTGCGGGAACGGGAATGGACCCTGAAGAAACCTGAATCCTGAGGGACCGAAGTCAACCACCAGCGTCCCCACGGAAGTCTTATCGTTCCCGCGCTATCCCTTCTGTTAATTGTTATCGATAGAGGAAGTGGAGCATGTCGAGATAGGTAAGGTACCTAGGTACCTAGCAGGATGCACTTCGATAAGACACCTTGACTGGGGAAGCGATTACAGACCCCAAGGTACCTTACCCGTATGTGCGTAGGTACCTTGATGGGAGTACACCGTACCCCTCCATCACCGCCTCTCTCATAGGTATGGCGGTCTCCCTTGCCTTTGAATCTCGTTTGGGGGCATCGTACAAACACAACGTCTTGCAGATTTGAAGACGACAGGTTCAAAGGAGAACAGTAGAACAATTGCTTCGAGTACAGATTCATCCCCAAGGCCATCCGGCGCCATCTGCCATCCGCCACCTCCAACAAGCAACTGCCCGTGACACCCCGCACCCGCCATTCGTCCCAGGTTTCGTGACTACCTTCCTTAATACCCGATTATTACAAAGTACCACCATCCAGTCACATCACCGCTAACAAACGAGCGGACGGGTACTTCGAGGTTTCGTCCATCTGAGTAACACCTGTACTTACTGCCAGGCTAAATGCTCGCGGCTCGACATGTACCCTTCTGTCCCCTCCTTCCCATTCTGATCAGGTGCGCTCCTCCCCGCCCCTACCCAACCCAAGCCCACGCCCTACCTGACCTTGCTCTGACCGACAGTTACCGACTGCAGCCTCAGCGGACTGGGCGGGCTACAGCCGAACTCAAGTCAACGTCGTGCCGTCTCATCCCGTAACCTCACTCGTTCTTTTTGCCGGGCAAAACAGTCTTTTTTCATTCCTCTCCCTCACCTTCCACCATGTCCGCTTCCGGAGTATCGGTATTGGAGGTGCCCGCGAGCAGAATGGATAGGTTCTGTCTCTTACCGCCAGAACTCCGTACAGCCGTTGTTGAGTGTGCCGTCGCTGACTGCCGCTACGGCGATGAGTCCGATTCCCTCGCCGACTACGCCTTGGTCTGCAAGGAGTGGCAGGCCATCGTCGAGCGTTTCAACTTTTCCGTCCTCAAAGTCACCCTGGCCAATCTTGACGACTTTGAGTCTTCCATGGTCGGCTCTCGCCGCAAACTCGTCCAGCGGATCAACCTACACGTTGACCTGCCCGCCTACGACAATGATCCCTGCGAAAAGAAGGAGACCTGGGAGGACAAGGCCGAGAATAATTCGTGCTTTACTCTTGCATTTTACCGTCTATTTGGCATCATGAATTCCTGGAAACCAGAGGATGCCACCCGTGACGGCATCGATTTCTCACTAAGCATCTCTTCACCCAGCGACCTCCGCAACGCCAACTTTGAGCTATGGCAACGACGCAGGTGGAATATCAAAGATATCGGCGAAAAGCGTTTCGCCGACTCTTGGATCGATTTCGTCGGCCAGGATGAGGAGTTTGACCGGGTTAACCACCTGCCTGTGGTTAAGGTGATAAGGTCATTCACCGTGAGCCCTCAGAACCACCGGGCGCTGATGCCCGCCGCTCATGCCGACATCATCGCCCGGCTGCCCGGGTTGCGAACAGCCAATTTCGACATCACAAAGGACCGCAAGAAGGAAACCCGCAAAATTCATTTCAACCGTGCGTTCCATGACGATGTTGCTACCCTCCAGGTCCCCTCACTAACACTGGCCAGAATTCGCCGGTTCCATGACAAAGTGGCCCACCTCATTAGAATCTCTCACCATCATGTCCAATACGATATCATCGTGGCGCCAGATCCCCCACGAGACGCTTGCTGAAGGCGACAGCGGTGCCAAGCTCTGTGAAAAGCTCCGGCGTGCCGCTCAGCATCTTAAGGAGCTCAGCGTCACCAACGTCGTGCGTATCAGAGAATTCTTGCGTCCTCACTGGCCCATGGGAACGGACGATACCGAGCCGTTCCTGGCGAACCGCTCGTATCACCCAGAGTTCTGGCTGCTAAAGACTCTCTACATCTCTTATGGATCTATCTGGTACAATACAGAGTGGCACAAGCAGAGCGACGATATCAATGAATCCTCGGAGCTAGTCGATTTCCGCCAGAATATATCCCTCGCCGCCGCCCGGATGGCGTCTACGATGCCCCAGTTGAAGCACATGACCATCAAGCAGCGGCCTCTGATGTGGGCAGGCAAGCATGAGCTCGAGTACAAGATCGAGGACGACGATAAGGCCTACCTGACTTGGACAAGTACCTTTGATTTCAGGCCATGGGAGCGAACGGTGGAGGCGTGGGTCGAGGTGGCGGCCCGGCAGGAGAGGAAGCTCGAAGTTCGCATCATCACTATGGCTTGGCATACTGACGGTAAAGCTCCTCTTCTGCCATCACTCACTTTTTGAATACTCTTTCTTTTTCGGAATTGAGGAACTCCAGTGCGAGCATTCCCTTCTTTCTTTTTGGGACTTTGGAAGGACGGAGTTTTTATGGCGTTCTCGAAGCATTTTTGGCACTTCTCCTTGGTACCCCTCTCATTACACATGGTTTATGATACCCAGGGTCCGGAACCGCTCTTCACGGCTTCATGATTATATCCCAGGGAAGGGGTAAGCGGGCAGTATTAATAGACTCAAGCCAGGATGAGGGCGAGACCTCAGCGGGGTGAAGGGGAGGCTATACCATAGTGGTGCGACTCTTGGTAGATACGTTGAATGAGCGATACACGATTCGAACACTTGGTCTCTTTGTTTTGTTCCTTTTTGACTTCGTTTTCTTGATGGGTTTCCCCGGTCTTGTGTCATGATTCAGGATGAGATGGTTCTGCTACACGTGCTGTGACCAGCAGTAGCCCAGTGCTGACACCGCCTCGATGGCTGGTCCACACTTGCATGACATGCAGAGTATGGGTGGGCTTTGATCTGATGGTTCTTAATCATGGTGGTTATGATTAGCTGAGTGTAATCTGAGTCTTGGAAGCAGCTATGAGATTTACAATGAGTTTTCTCATGAGAGATGAAATCCAAGGCTCAGAAGCAGGTAATAGATTTACAATGAGATCTCTCATGAGATGAATAAGCCAAGGTGCGTTCACATACGTGACAGAAGGTCCATACTTACTAGGTAGATAGCCATTCTCATTCACCATCTCATAGGTCAGATGAAGTAATTTGAAATCATTTGATTTTTTTTCATCTTATTGATGCTGAAAAGAGTAGCTCTCTCCAGATTCCCCAACGCCATGTTGTCCCAGACGCCATTACCCTGAAATCCCATGAACCAGATATAATCATCTCACGCGTACGTACACATCTACAGTGAGCCGTTTCTTTGGGCAACACTCAAGAATGACCCCACACACCTCACTCATCGTCATCGTCATCGTTCAAATCAACCTTGGGCCCGGGTCCCCAGCTGTACCTCTTGCGCGTCCTCAGCATCCAGCTCCAATGGCTCCACGGGTCCTCCGCAAGCTTGGTCATCTCAATCACATCTCCGTGGCCCTCCCACAGCGTGGTGAGCCCATACTCGACTGCCATCCGCGCGTACTTTGTCGCCAGCCACGGCTCCCCGATGCCGTTGTACTCGATCGCGGCGAGGGTATACGCCTCAGTCAACAGGCTCCAGTTGTGCTCCTGCTCATACAAGGAGATCAGCAGCTCCGCCATCTGCGGGGTCGCCCTGGACGCGGGGGTGTAGTCGTTGAACTCTTCCCGCAGGGAGGCGATCTGCTCGATGCGGCGGTCCGACTCGTCCGTCTTGAGGCGGTGCTGCATGCAGTGGTGGCAGGAGCAGTGGAAGCCCCAGGTGGAGTGCAGGCGCTCGCGGCGGGCGGCGCGGGTCTGCATGGGGTCGATGTAGGAGAGGGTGAGCTCCTCGCCGGGGATGATGTCGCGGATGGCGACGGTGCGCTGGGTGAGGGTGCGCGGGTCGAACCAGTAGTCTACGTTGGGGCGGCAGTCGTGGTTCATGCGGGATGCTGGGGTGCCGTGTTAGCCGTGTTTGCTCATGCAGGGACCTACAAGAAGCAGGGAAAAGGGTAAATAGGGGCAGAGGAGGGGGGGGGGGGGCTTACTGTTGACGAAGACGGCGTAAAAGTCATCATCGCGCTTCGCATCGTCCATCTCGACATCAAACGAGTTGGTCACGAGGATCTTGTCCACCATGGACAGGTGGTCGCCGTGGTAGCCGTGGCTCGACATGTTGAGCCACTGGCTGCGGTGCTTGAACTGCAGGAAATCCACAGCGTGGGCCTGCATCTTCTTCATCTCGTCGGGCGGGATGTGGCTAAACGCCGCATAGTCAATGAGCAGACTCGCCGTCTCGCGCAGGATGATCTCGCCCCGCTTGATTGGCAGCGAGGCGACCAGGCCGTAGTCCTTGCCGGGCACTTTGGCGACCTCGAACTTGGGCAGCGGCTGGTTCGAGCCCTCGAGCTCCTCGGGCCTGGTGAAGCCCCAGCTGCGGGTGATGTGGGCGGCGCGGTCGGCGTCGGTGATGATGGATATCCCCTTGCCGCCGTAGTTGGCCGCGTGGTAGATGCAGAATTCGGGTGCCTCTGTGCCGTTTTTGAAGCAGGGCGAGGTGTGCGTCCACGCGGAGCCCGAGGGGGTAGAGGAGGTCCCCGCTGAGGAGAAGGGGAACTGGTCGGCGCGGCCGCCGAGGAGGTCTTCCTTGTTGCGGCAGATGGGACCGTTGTTGGAGGAGGCGGCGAGAAGCTGGGAGGAGATGCAGATCTCGCCGGAGCTCGAGGAGATGACCTTGGATTCGCGGAAGGCGAGGGCGGAGCTGGCGCCCAGGAGTGCAAGTGAGGGCTTCATGGTGATGGAGGAGAGATGTGTGTATTAGAAGAGAATGATAATTTTCGGGTCGTGATCTACACAACGCGCGAATAGAAGTGAAGAATGAAAGGATGAACAGTAGAAAAGGGAGAATAGGAGAAGGAATGGGAGAAGAGAAGAGGAAGAGTTGAACACACGCTCACTTTCGTCCCATTGATCTATGATAATCGGACTCCCGGCACAGCTCGAATGATTGAAAGTGGGACGAATAGATATTAAGTATCCGCACCGCTCGACACACAATATGGCAAGATGCGGCACGCAATAAGCAAGCACGGAAAACTTGGGCAAGCTTCAGAAGCAAACCCTGGGCGCTTCGACTCTTCTTTGGAAATGCATGCATGCGCGGGACGGGGTTCGAGCTCTCGGCGCTGGCTGGACCAGCGTTTGGGATGCTCGCGGGGGAGCAACAGGATTGGAGCATGGGTGGAGGAGGAGGGATAACTCACACCTCACAGCCTACAGACCCCATAGACTATAGAACGGATGGTGATGGGGTTTGCGGGAAAGACGTGACAAGGTCCGCGAGCTTCTTGGGGCCCGGATCCCTGTCTTGAGGTCTGGATGTTTGTGTGAATGGTCGATTGCGTTGGAAGTCTGAGTTGCCATTGAAGCTGTCCACGGGTTCCGTCTGACACTTTTTTTTCTTGTCTTTTTTCCCTGGTCCATCATCCATGGGATCATTGGAGTATGGACGGTGGACCATGGCCCATGGCGAACCCCAGGATGGAGAGAAACAAGACTTTTGACGAATGTAACCCTCGGTAACTTTAGTAAGGTTGTCTTGTAACGAGGAAGGGTTAAGCGACTCATGGTGCGAAGGACGACAATCCCCTGTAACCCCTTCCCGCGACCCAATTGGACATTGGCGTTGTTTGATGATTGATGTTGTTGGTAAGGTATGCAGGATCATAAGAAAAGGGGGGGACGGAAAGGATGGCGCTAGGTTGCAGCGCTGCGATTGTTTCTTGTGTCAAGATCCTCGTTGATGGGCGTTCAAGGGGGTTGTGCGCTCGTGTCAGATGTGTTGCAGGACGCTGGGGTTGAGTTCTCGAGTGCACCCCAGCACTCCCCGTAAAGCGATGGTGGGCGGGAGAGGGAAAAAAAAAAGGGGTGGCGTTGCAGACAAAACGGAATGGGGCCCGGGTTTGGAGGTCAGACAAAACAACTGACACACGCCGATCAGCGGGAGAGCCTTGGCCTGCCACTATTTTGTCGGTAACACGGCACCGTTGACAAGTAGTAGCCTGCTCCAATGGTCCGTATGTAGGTATGAACCCCTTGGCTAGTTGGCCGTAGGGTCCCCAGCAAACTACCTTCTCTTGCATGGCGGTTGTGGAGTGTTTCCAAACCGATTCTGTGGGAGAATGTCAGGCACAAGAAGGGATAACAGCAAGTGGGTTAGAGTTAAAATTTAGGTACGCTTGCAGGAGATGGTGGTGGCCGCGGCCACCTTTTAGCCGTGGCCTTTTTTGGTGAGTGTCGTCAGGATTGACTTACCTTTCTCTGCCTCAGTCGAGCCAACCTGAGCCCGCGGACTATGGAGTGGGACGGGCTTCACATTCTCGCCTGTGGATGCTGCCTTGGCTGCCCCGCTGGGGACATGTGCAGATGGAACATTTTGATGACCAAGAATGCCTGCCCGTAAACATATTGTCGTGCAGCTGCCCAGAATAGATGCTACCGCACATGTGTCGAGGAAACTTGCGACGACGCGGGAGCCACCTGCGCCCACTGTGGCGGCTAAAACATAACACACAGCACAGGTCCCGAACCGCACAGGACGGCGTGGGCAGACCTGCAGGTGCCGTCCTATCCAGCGGATCTCACTGTACGAGGTACGAATAGCCGGCGACAAAGAACACAAATCACATCTCAGCTGCCCGCCAGCGACCGGACGGTGGTAGTAGGAGGGGGGCGTCGACGACCTTATATAGTGGAGCAAAGTGAAGCATCCAGACCTCTCGAGTCCCAGCCGTCGGGTTTCCGTGAGGCCGATGTTTTGGATTTGCATGTTCCGTGTCGCGTTTAGAAAAAAGGGTCGAGCCGAAACCAGAGCCGGAACCCAACGGAAAAAGTCTCCGGTCGCGGGGACGGCCGTGACCCACCCCGAAAGTGAGCCCGGCGAAAGGTGGAGATCATGTCCGGAGCACCGGTGTCTGCGGGTCGCTTCATTCGGCGAATTGATCACATCAATAGCAATTTCTACCATAATCAAATCAGCACTCAAAGTCCTTCTCCAACCGTCCGCCCCGTCTCCTAAACTGATCCGCAACACTCTCCATCTCCACAGCAGGAAACCTCGGGTCCTTCTGCCACGGCAAGAAATCACTACTCGCCACCATCCACCGCAACACAACCCCTTCCATCCGCCTCCTCACCTCTTGATACTCGCCCACCTCAGCCAGGTTATGCAGCTCCCCTGGGTCCCCAGTCCGATCATACAGCTCCGCCGGCTCGTACAGCCGATACACGAACGTCCACTCCTTGTCCCGGCACGCCACGCTCTTGCCCACAATCGTCGTGTCCTCGTGCTGCAAGGCGGCTTTGATATCGTACGGGTACGGCGCCTGCTCCAGCAGCGGCTCCTCGCTCGTCAGGAACCCGCCCTCGGAAAAGGCAAACTCCTTGTGCTTCATCGTAGCGTCCGCCGAGGTCAACACCTCCGCGAGCGAGACGCCGCAGTGAGGAAAATGCTCCCCGATACCCGCAAACTGCAGCACCGTCGGGACTAGATCCACCATCTCCGCCATCTCGTCGTACACCACGCCCCGCGGCAGCCCGCAGCCGCCGACAAGCAGCGAATCGTGGGTCAGCGAGTCCGAGAGGCCCGACGGCCACTTCTCAATCATGCCGTGGTCGCCGAGGTACTCCCCGTGATCCGTGAAGAACAGCGTCACCGTCGAGTCCCAGTAGCCCAGCGCCTTCGTCTTGTCCACGACGCGCCCGAATTGGTCGTCGAGACGGGAGATCATGCCGTAGTAGGTCGCCATCACCTCGGCCCAGATCTCGGGCGTCGCGCGGTGGGTACCATAGCGCTCGCGGTTGAGCTGCATGTAGCGAGGCTCGTAGCCGGTCTGATAATAGTCCGTTAGCTGCGATAGTCTCTGGAATCCTCCAGGAGTGCACTCACCTTATCGTCTGGCTTCGTAGGCACACCCATCTCACCGCGATCATACATTGAAAAATACGGCTCCTCCACCTGAAAAGGACAATGCGGGAAAATAAGCGGCATGAACAAAACCCAAGGTTTATCCGTCGGCGGACACTCCAACCACTTCAACGCGCCCTTGACAACAGCATCATCATAATCCATCGCCTCCTCATTGTTCCTCAATCCCTTGTAAAACAGCCTCTTCCAGATATCTTCCTTATCCTCGGGCTCCTTGTTCCCGCCACCCGCGAACCGCGGCACGAACTCGGGCGTCTCGAGGAACCCATACTCATCCAGCGACAGCTCCGTCACCGTCGGCGCAAAGGTATCGCCCCTCGGCGCGAGGCACGCGACGTGGTACCCTCCTTTTTCCTTGAGCGAACGAAAGAGGTTGGGCTCCCACGGCTTGATGAGGTTCTCGAGGGAGCGGTGGCCCGTGACGTGCGGGTAGTTGCCCGTGAACATGCTGCACCGCGATTGCGTGCAGACGGAGGCCTGGACGAAGCAGTTTGTGAAGCGGGTGCCCTCGGCCGCGAAGCGGTCAATGTTGGGCGTCTTTACGGTCTGTCAGAACGTTAGTGATGTTGCAACGATGGTTCACTTTTGAGGGGAGGGTGATGTGTGACCTTGTTGCCATTGCAGCCGAGTGAGTCGTAGCGAAGCTGGTCCGGCATGAAGATGATGAAATTTGGCTTGTCCACCTTGAGCCCGCTGGGCTTCGCAGGCTGTTCATATGGAGGTGGGATATCTGATGAGGGTGCCATCGCGAGAGGTCTGTCTATTACACACTTTACGCTGCGGATTGACGTTGTCGCACTGCTCGCAAATTGAGAGCAGGAAAGTCTCTTCTAGATATAATCAACATCAAATCAGGAGCCTTGTCATTTCTTTCACGAGGACACCATAATAATCCACTCACTATCCCAAACCGCAGACCCTCACTGGTCGGACGAGGTTCAACACGGCGATGCGCGTCGTCCGTAGCACAGCCGACAACCGCTGCGATTATCCGGCGAGATCCGGCGATGAGTGGAGACAATAGGGTGGTCCGTATCCAGCGGTGCCGGGATCGGGCCAGTACCGCGTCCGTTTGTTGGAGCACGAGTCGGGGGATTTTGATGGGTGATCGTCGCAAATCATTTGCTTGCCGATCACATGGTCCAAACGCTTTTCCCCCCAATACCAACTGTGAAACAAGCCGGTTCGTCGATTGAAGCTGCTTCTCTGCAGCCGGCCGCATTTTGAGGTACCGTGCCGCAGGAGCGGCTACTAGCCCAATGACAATAAACATTGACGTCGGACCTCCGGCAAATATTGCCAATGCGGGGTGGCTGTAACGTAGGGCGGCACACGGTCTCACAGGATCGACAGACTCGGGGTAGCACGGGGGCATGCGAGAAGCCATGGGTCATCATTTGCTTTGAATTGTTTGGAGGACAGAAGGAAATTATACAGCATTAGAATATACAAATATTCTACAACCCGGCATTCGCCTTCACCACACGGTGATTCCTGGTTTCGTTCACACCGCGAGACGGGCTTCCCGGGGGTAGTCGTTAAGTTTATATACGTAAGAGTTGCGCCCCGAGCCATTTCCCGATGCCGATGCGCGGTAACTCCACAGGCGGTGATAAAATCCCCGTGTGTATGGACCATGCAAAGGACAGAAGGTCATCCCGGTGCGCAGGGTATAAAAGTGTGTGTCGTCGAACGCCATGCCATGTTGAGAAAAATGCTGAGTGGTTTGTACAGCGGGAACCGATCTGTACAGAAGAAATTTGTCCGGGCAAAAGTTGGACACTTGATAAGTTTTGGTTTTGTTGGTTGCTTAGTTGAAGCGCTCCTTCTCCCGCAGGCCGCCGATTGAGTCGATATCGACAGAGTAAAACTGCGACTTGCTATCCTTCTCGTACGCCGGGAGCTGCTCATCGCGGACGGGCTCGAGGCCAACGGAGCCGCCATCGCCAACGCGGACGACGAGGACACGGCCGCTCTTGCGGCGGCCGCCCTCATCCTGCTCGTCGGGGAAGGTGATGTGGATCTCGGGGACGTTGTCGGGGGAGTGGGGAGCGGACTGGGGGTTCTGGAGCATCGGCGAGCGTCCGTCCTGGCCGATGTAGAGGACACTTGAGCGGCCGTCTTGACTTGTCTGGATGGTGAGGTTGTGGTGGTTTCTGGCGCCGCCCTTGACTTCTTGATAGGTGGGAAGCATCTGTTCTCGGCGTTGTTGCCTGCGCATGCGGCGCATGAGGAAGAGTGTGGAGACGAGGAGGAGGGCGAAGAAGATCAAGGCGAGAACGACAATCATGAGGTTGAGAGTGTCGCCGCCATCGACGTCGCGGGTGACAACGCCAGGGGCGTTGCGGGAGATGAGGTTTTGGATGGAAGGCATTGTGTTGGTCGTGAGCGGGTCTGATTATTGCTGCAAATATCCCTTTTCTTTGGTGCGAGTCGAAGAAGAGAGCGGTATTCGGTATAATTATTAAAGAGCGGACGACTGTAGGAGGGGATTGTCAGCCATCGCGAAAGGGGTTTGTTGTTTGAGGGTCCGACATCTGGTGAGACATTCTGGAGCATTGTCTGGTGAACACACAAAGGGGAATAGATCCATTCCAGATCTCCCTTTTCTCACCGGCCAACACACACAATAGTCCTCGAATGTCCAGTCCAGAAGGGCGGATTTGCCTCGCCTCCCAAAAAATAGAAGTGGCACGTACGTAAGGGATTAAGTCTTCTCTCTGTGGCAGGCCGTCGCGAAAGTCGTTAAAGAATGCACTTGTCTCTCGGTGTGTCGTGGATATTTTTGGATTTGAGGGTTGGGTGTTTTTTTCGGTGTAGTTGTGATGGTACGTAGTGAGCAGGTTGGTTATTAACGATAGGACGGAAAACTGCTTAGTGAATGCAAGCGGAATTTCCAAGGGGGGGATAGTATTAGAGAGTGACTGGAAGGAGGGTGCTAATAGAGAGCGAGTGACAACAAACGGTCCTGCAACGTACAGCAAGGACAACGACGATTTGAACAAAGTTGTTGAAGAAGAAGGGGAGGGAAGGGAGGAGGAGAAGAAGTCGAGATGGAAGGGAACGAGGAAGGATATGTCCTGGTTGGAAAATGGAGAGACAGGGGTAGCGCCGAGGAGGAAGAGGAGGTCTGCGGTGTGGTGTGTGTGTGTGTGTGTGCCTGGTACCTGCGTTGGTGTGTGGACAATTGGTGCGCAGGCTTGCATTAGGACTGGGCAGCGGGTAAGTGGCTACTGCCCAGCGTGTGTGCCAGTGTGGGCGGCATTGGACGCCTGGGAGGAAGACGCGATGGAGCCATGCCGTTCCTGGCCAGGCATCCAAGGATCTATGCAGCAGAGGCACAGCATAAGCGCACAGAAAAGGGCGGCATCATTCATCATGGCATGGGGCGGTTCGTGATCACAGATTGAATCCTTTCCTAGAGCCCCAGCCTATTGGCAAGGCGGCAGGGATCATCACCGAGCCAGACCGGGTTGAGAGAAGCTCCAGCCAGGCAGTACATAGGTACTTGTTATCCGTCCTATACGTACTGCGTATGATAAGTACATAACATCTGAGGTACGAACAGAGAGGCTAAAAACTCAGGAGAAAGCTGCTTACCGCCTTGGACAAGAAGCGAGGAAAAACTAAGCAGGACCAGCCAGGACGGGAGTGGAAAAGAGGAGAAGATGGCAGCATCGGACGACAGCAAACGGTCCTCCCACCTTCCCTTCCATGGAATCCATAGTTCCATTGGCGCACTCCGTAGTGGATCTGGACCGGGCCAATTCTCCATTCTGGCAAGCACTGCCCATGGAGCAACTTTACTGATTTGGGAACATGGGAAGCAACGCCCCAAGATTGAGCCCATCTGACAGGCACGCACGATTCGTCAACGGTCTGTTGCAATTTCCGCCATTGGCCAATGAGGCCGTTGCGTGACTGGAAGAAGCGGGGCGGTGTCGGGAGCCGCCTTGAAACGGCGTCGATAATTGGGCGGCCGTTGGTCGTTTCCCAACTAAGCTCATCGACCCCCTGCAGGGGCTCGTGGTCCGTGAGCTCGTGTGCAGCCAGGAACGAGCGAGTTGTTCTTGCTCTGCTCTTGCTCCAGTTCCTGAATTCTGCCAGATAATCCCCCCTGGCTCTTGCCTTCCTCCTCCGAACCTGGGCGGCTGTGACGACAAGCTGGGACTCCCCTTTTTCTGTGCAATCTGGACTCGCAAATCAGCACCCACTGCGGCCTTGTGCAAGTGGGTCCATTGGATAGAACACGCGGTTAGCGTCGTGGTGACATCCATTTCGAGAAGGAAGGTGCGTCCTTCGTCAGCAATACCCGGCTTTCCACTCTTCGAGGCAAGCCGCAAGCCACAACACAAACAAATCATAACGACTTGGAGAATAACAATGCAACGCCCGTCGAGAACATGAACTCTGAATGCTCTCGGATTCGCCCGACCAAACTATTGCTTCCCAAATCTCTTTTTCCTTTTCTGCCCTTCCGTCCAGTCCGCTTCCTCCTCTGCCGCTCTCATCTCGATATCACACGGAGCTATAACACACCGGCGCCTACCAGTATTTTTCTCCCTCATCACAAGTCTACCGAGCGAAAAAGCTGCCAGCTTGATCCCTCTTCTGCCCAGTCTAAATGTCTCCGGGTATCCGTACCATCGTCGACTGACAAAGTTGTCCGTCCCAATCCGGTCTTGGCCTCTCCCGGGGCCCCACGAATGCAATCATCCAACATGTCAAATCAGGTTTGCTGCTTGCTGACTCTCGCCCAATTCTAGAAAGACTTCATAACTCATTCCGCCCTCTCCCACCTTTTTGGCGGCGGCAACGTCCCGATGCCAGAAATAGCGTCGGAGCTCCAGCAGCCACCTGGTCACTCCATGCCAGTGGGGCCCTCGACCCGCACCGTCATCTCTGGCAAAGCGAGAGCCTCGTGGCCCACGATGGCCCCGTTGCCCTACACACGAGATTACGAGCTCGTGAATGGACTCTTCCAGTCTTCCACGCCTACCACGGTGCTGCCGCCTGCGAGCCTCGTACACAACCCAGAATTCAAAATGCAAAATCCTGCCCGGCCCGTAGCGATCTTAGCATAGCCTTTTCGTCCGACTCCGCCTGCCGGCTCCTGTTGTCGCAGATCATCCCTTTCGGGACCGTCTACGAGATTTCCGGGAATTGCTGTTGCCCCTTGGAGACAAACGAGAGTTGTTCATCTCGTTTGTTGTGAAGCACCGTTGCATTGTTCAATGCAGCGACCACCTCTTATCCCACAGCCCCTGCCCCTCCGGGTTTAATGCAATACTACTACTGACAACTCGACACCGAACATACCGAGCATATGGTCCGAGCCACATGTGGCGCTCCTTTGTGGCGTCCGTCCGCTCCGATTCACCACGGCGCCACAGAGAGACAAATAACGACTCTCCTCACTGGGTCACTTCCGCAACCATCATCATCCGGTTTGATGTTATCTTGACAAGTCGCCCAAGTGGGATATTCGACATGTGGCGGTTTCCCTGAGTGGCCATCGCTGCCGAGAAGGTCTTTGACCTAAATACCAAACGCAATCAGGCTGCACCGTCCAGAGGCACATCTCATTGCCCATGTTCCTGAATAAGGTCTGCTCATTTTTGACACGTACAAGAATTTCATTGTGGCCTCTTAGCGGAGAATTTGGACTACTTTCGACCTCAACCGCAGCTTGACTGGAGGTAAGCCCATGGGCAGTTCCCAACCAGGCGTTTGCTAAGCCTCTTGG